GGGCGTTTGAGGCGGTGGGGCAGGCGAGAGCGCTGCGTGGAAGGGGGGGAAGGCAGCCCGGGTGTGAAGGGGCGTCGGGGTTTGTTGGGGCAACAGCGGGGACGGGGCTCGCTGTGTGTTAAGAAACACAGGCCTGTGCATGCGTACAGTGGAGGCCTGTGTGTGTGGATTTTTAAATGATTTCATATTAGTTTTGGTTCCAGTGAACGTATCTTCTTTCTCTTCTCTGTTTTGCTTTTCTTTCGTTTTTATCATTAAATGAAGGGGGGGAGGTGTTAGTTCACTACCTTTTTCTCGTGATGCTGAAAATATTTATTTAAATGTTCCATAATATGTACATCACTAATAAAATACTCTGTTTCTCAACCCCTGCAAGAAAAATGATCTAAAAAAATATATATGAGGGTTAGAGGTGGGTGTCAAAGCTCTCTTTCATCTCATTACCATGTGGCTAGAGGACTTGTCCGTGATGTGGTGCAAATTTTTCTCTGTTTAAAGGGAATTTTATTCCCTTTGTGAGAAGGAGACTTTAAATACACATAAAATAAGGAGGTGTAATATAAGAAGATTTCTTGTTAGAGACTGTTCTTGGGTTAGGTACTTGCATATCTTTCTTACTCACTTTGTTCTACTCTGTATAATTAAGCACTTATTACATAATGAACTGGATTCTACAAGTCTCAGTTGTATTTCCTAATACAAATCTGAGGATCAGTTTTGTTCTTTTCAGTAACTGGACAAGTATATTATATAAAACAGAACTCTTCCAGCGGGGGGTGTGTGTATGTGTGTGTCAAGTATTTACTGTACTCTGAAAATCTCCTGTGACTTTGTTGGGCAACTTTCCCAGGAATCTGACAGACCTTTTTTTAAATTTATTCTCCTTGATTCAAGTCAGGTATCTGGTTCCAAATCAGTAGCCTGATCACAAGGCTGTGGGCTGTGCTGGCATAAATCAGATTTAGAGTAGGATTCTTAAATAAATATCCATTGCATAATAGAGAATGGTCCCCTCTTTTGAGGTATTTCTATATATCTAAAAATTATTCGGTATTTTTGTGAATAGCTCTGAGGTGATAAATATATTTTGGGAAAATTTACTGTTCACAAAATCTTTTCTATGTATTTGTATGGCAGTAGAATCTATGGAAAGAAGGCGGCTGCGTAGGTAGAAGGGAATGACAGTATGAAGGATAAGTTTGTGTTGGAGAGTGAGGGCTGTAGGTGACTAATAAATGTGTGGAGCAAGAGAGCTGTATAATGGAAAATTGTCTTTGTGCGTGGAATGAGACTGAATCTGTGCATGTGTGAACAGTTCTCTGTAGAATAAGTGGAATATTTGTGTTGGGATCCATTGTGCGATAACTGGACAACATCTGCCATGCAATTTGTTAAAGCTATTTAATAATCTGCATAGTAACTAATGCTGTGTGTATTCGTAGTGCGTTGTAGCCCAGAATGATTCATCCGTTCTGTGTCATATCAGACAAAGTAACTGATGTAACATTAAGGAAATCTAAAACTTGGGACACTTGAAGTCCAAAGAGTTTTAAATCGTTTGTGTTGTAAATTGTCAGTATGTTTGATAGACAGTTTGCCTTGATAATGTGTGCTACAGAGTGTTTTTTTCAGAAAAAAAGGGAAAAGCGCTACACTTTACTTATGAATGTTGTGATTCTTCCACGTTATAGTAATCACGAGAGAACTGTACTGTTAACTTTGGGTTTAACATCCCCTGATACCAGCGAGGCAGTCAGACTGCTTAGTAGATTTGGATAATTTACAGCCTTGTTAATAGAGTTGTTGGAGAATGTAAGTGCAGTACATGCCAGCCTCGATAAAAAATGATGTTTACAGTCTATTTGATACATCACTAAATTTCAAAATTGTTGATAAATGATGTTTCTCTTTATCTCCCTTTCTAAGATACTACGCGTATCTTCAGCAAGCTCAAGCTTTTTACACGTTTCCGTTCCATCAAATGATGACTGCAGCGCCTAACATGGAAATCATGACTGAGCAGCCGACTGTAGAGGGCGTTCCAGAGCCAAACGTTGCTCAAGAGCCTCCAAAAGGTAGTTTGACTGGGCTATGCTAAGTGAGCTAAAACGTTAGTAATCGATTGGGGGGAAAAATTATTGGTCTTAAAGTACTTCTTTGGACCTGTTGGATTTCCTTTGCTTGATGCTTTCTGAGGAAGTATTCATTAATAGTATTCTTTAAGTAACTATTTTTCCTAGGCAATTAAAAAGATAAGAAGTAAACCCAGGTGACAATATTCACGTTGTTTAGTCTCACAAAATTGTCTTGTTGCCAGAAGAGGAGATTTTTGTTTCAATATATAAATGTATCACTTTTAACCGATTCCATGGTTTTTAATATTATGTTAGAAAGTTCTCTCTTTTCAGTCTGACATAAAATATTTTTCTTAATTTCTGCAAGAGAAGCACAATATCGTACTGTTTATTTGAAATATTCTTGTTTAAATGGTGGTTTAGTGTGTTTTACTAATCACAAGTAGTTAATTGTTTATATACACTAAGGATTGTTTGTTTTTAGTGAGGCTTATTTACACAAATACAAAGAGTGCTGGAAAGTGTCTTGTATGTGACAGAAGTTTTGTACTTTATGCACTTGTACATTGCTTTTCTTTTCACCCACTAGGATTTTATACACTTGGGCTTTACACTAACCATGCCAAGAGAAGATCCCTTATTCTGTTACTCTTATGCTTGCTCTTTACCACATAAGAAAGGCAATGATCTCTGCCGTGCTTAAATTCTGATTCTGTAGTAAATATGTGTTCAGTTTTGGGCCCCTCACTACAAGAATGACATTGAGGTGTTGGAACATGTCCAGAGAAGGGCTACAAAGCTGGTGAGGGGTCTGGTGAGGACAAGCCTTATGAGGAATAACTGAGGGAGCTGGGGTTGTTTAGCCTGGAGAAGAGGAGGCGGAGGAGGAGACCTTATCACCCTCTACAACTACCTGAAAGGAGGGTGTAGAGAGGTGGGGGCTGACCTCTTCTCCCTGGTGACAAGTGATAGGACGAGAGGAAATGGATTCAAGTTATGTCAGGGAAGGTTTAGATTGGATATTAGGATACATTTTTTCACTGAAAGGGTTATTGAACATTGGAATAGGCTGCCCAGGGAGGGGGTGGATTCGCCATCCCTGGAGGTGTTTAAAAAAGGGTAGATGTGGTACTGAGGGACAGGGTTTAGAGGTGGTTTTGTCAGGGTAGGCTGATGGTTGGACTTGGTGATCTTAAAGGTCCCTTCCAACCTTAGCAATTCTATGATTCACACACTGACTTTCATCTTGCCTTTAATATTTAGCTGTAGGTCAGAGCTCTCTGTACCAACAACCTTTCATTCATGCAATGACGTAGCTTGTTTAAGTGCATCCTTTCCTAAGCTTTTTTTTTTTTTCTTTTTTTTTTTTCTTAGTTGTAATGCATGGCCAGATGAAATCATAGGAAGAAAACCTCCAGTTTAAAATATTTGCGACTGCTCAATTCATTCACAGAATTATTCACTACAGTTAGTATGCATCTCAAGTGCTATATAGTTAGGATTCTTCTGCAGCTTTATTATTGGATAAGTTGAGGTCACCATGAGCACACTGTTTGACTGCACTTTCAAGTATTTTTAGACAACCATAATTGCACTTTAAAGTATTTTTGGACAACCATAATCTTTCGTTATGAAGCTGTTCCCTGATATTTTTGCAAGAATTGGAAGTTGACTAAAGCCTTCAAAGGCAGGGCTTTGAAGATTACCACATGTGTGTGAAATTCACAGGAGCACATATGAAGGGCAAAGATTTGGAGTCCAGCTACCTGCTGTCATGAAAAAAGTCGTTTTTAGGATTACCCTCTGAAAGGCTGCCCTGGCATTGTTCATCTTTCATGACAGTGTCTGGTTGGTAGGTACCTGATCAGCATGAGAGTTAGGAGAACATTATCCTGCTTCATTTGAAATACATCCACCTCAGAGCAGTTGGAGTATCTGTGGCATTTTGCCATCACATGAAAAACCTCCTTATTCTTCAAGGGGTAGGAGAGAAAAGCTGCTTATGTGCCTCACCAAGTCTGCGCCCTTCTACCCTCTTCTTTGTAACTTGACTGTAGCTTGAGTACTGTTACTTACAGCTTTCCTAAGCAGCTGCTCCATGGACAGGGTGGGAATTTCACATGACTTTTGTCCTCTTTTTTGTTTGCACTCAGCTTTCTTACAAGAACAGCCTAAAAAATGTTTGCAGACTTAGGGCAGTACCCTGGTAGCCATTGTATTTCTTATCTGAGGGAGAGTTTCAGCTAGGAATTTTGAAAATAACAAAAGTCTCAATTTTGAAGTATTGGATTACTTTGGCTCTTTGCTGATTGCTGCTAAGTGTGTTTTCATATTTTTCAAGTTGTGTTCTGCACCTTGACATTATTAATGAACAAGGATAGAGAGGAATCTCTGGATGGTCATGTCATGATCAGTAGCTGTGCTAACTGAAGCTCTAAGCTTTACACGCCAGAAGATGAGAAAGTTTCAAATGAGTGAGCAGTGACTACGTTATGTTTGCATTTTGTAAATAAAAACTAGTGTTTGATGTCAGTCATTCAAAGTGAGATCCTGAAGGTCTTATATGTTATCTTGCTATATGATGCAAGGTATTGTTCTGTAAACAATAAGTTGCGAATAGCTTAGGCAGCGTTCAGCCTGTATGTTTGTGTTCCATACAAGTTTGTATCTTACACTGTAGGTAATCTTTGAGACCTTTTTTTTTTTTTTTTTTTGACATGCTGTTCAGTTTCTTCAATATGTTATGTAATCCGTAACAATCAACTTTCATATTTAGAAGCTGAAGTGTGAGTAGTAGACTAGAACTTACTGTCGTATTCCTTGGAACCTGAGCTTTGATGTTCTGGCATAACCTCCATCTAAGCAACATAGCCTTGTCATGAGGTTATTCCTGGTTTGTATCCTAAGTCAGCATAGTTGCCTGTGAGTAGTGTGTGTGGCTGTGGTACAGAGATACCCAAGCTAGCTCTGTATTGAGCCTGGAAAACCAAGATTCATCTGATAATTCTTTAAATTAATGAATTTTGAAGGTAAATTTATCTGTGATTCCTTTTTGTATCAGTACATTTTGCTCAGTCTCTTTGAATGTGCATGCTGCAACAGTAGTGTACTAAAAGGGTGTTTGCTGTGTGTTTCAGAAGTTAAAAAAGGAGGAAGGAAAAGAAAAGCCAAAGCAACTGAGCCAAAGCAACCCAAAAAGCCTGCTGCTAAAAAAGAAAAATCAGCCAAGTCAAAAGGCAAACAAGAAAAGATCACAGATACTTTCAAAGTCAAAAGAAAAGTGGACCGTTTTAATGGTGTGTCTGAAGCAGAACTTCTGACCAAGACTTTACCTGATATTTTAACCTTTGATCTGGACATCGTAATAGTAAGTAATTCAGAGTTACAAGAAAAGTGAATAAATAGTCTGTTCTCACTGATTATGATTTACATTCCTTCTGCTATCTATATTGCTTATATGGCAAGATCTTGCAAGATAAAGTATATAAACTGTTTCCTGTGTGTCAAGCTGCTTTGCATTTTCTGTTAAAAATCATGGTAACATAGTTCTAATTTCTGAGAAGTTTAAGGCTTATGTATAATACATAGTCATGAGAGATCGTTACACTTTATTTACTGGAAATGCTACACCAGTGGCTGTAAAACACACTGTGAGCTGCTCTTTTGACATTGCACATCTAAATGAGACACTGCTATAAAATTGTCATTTTTTTAAAATTGTGATAGAAGGTACCATTAACACAGTTTTGTTTATTGACAGTAACTTAAAAAGAATTGAATAAGCGTCCTTACTGTAATTTGATTAAATACCTGACTAGCGAGCCATGTTCTCAGTGTTAAAATGGACTGCTATCTTTGTAGATTGGCATAAACCCTGGCTTGATGGCAGCTTACAAGGGACATCATTACCCTGGACCTGGAAACCATTTTTGTACGTTTTTGTTTTCCTTTCTTCTTATAGAATTTGCAGAACTTTGTTAGAACTTGTGGCATTTTAATTAAACTGGTGGGGTTTTGGGGTTTTGCTCTTTTTTTTGGATGCAGAGAGGGATTTTGCTGTTAACCATCCAAGAGTGATTTAAATCCCATAACTACTTCTGTCAAATACTGTACATAAAAAGGAATAAAAGAGGAATAATCGGTGACTTTCAGTGCAGGTTTAGAATTGTCATGTAAACACAGTATTACCAAATAACTTCTTGGCATATTAGTCATATTAGTGTGCAATATAAGGAATAAAAATTAAATCTCTAGTACTTGAGTTATCAAGAGTAAGTCAATAGGCATCAATTTCCGATATAAAATAAAACTACACACGTTTTCCAAAAATGCATTTCAGCAATCCTTCTTCTGCTTGCGTTTATTCATTTCTTCTAAACAAGCTTTCTAACTGATGAAAAAGCAAAACCCATTGCCCTTTCCTAGCAGGCGTACGCATCTAGCATACCTGATTCTCCAGACAGATATTTTTTCCTAGGTATTTTTCCATTTTAAGTAACATTTTCTGCAGCATGTTGTCATAGAGAAAGATCACACCTGAACTCTGCTGAAATGTTCTGGTTTGTGTACTGGGAACCATTCCAGCTCTGGTAGTAGGGAGCTCCACGTGGGCTAATTTGCAGCCCTGCAATATCCCAGCCAAAATGCTTCTGGTGTCCAGCAGACTTGTAAGTCAGGACTGGATATTTCTCCAGTGTTCCGCAGACTAGCCAGACTAATAGCCTCCTTTACCGAGAAGCAGACCAGGTATGCATGCTCTGGCAAATCCAGGTGTTTGTGACCTTCTGGATCATTAGGGGCTAGCTGGGGTTAATTTGTGCTTAAGAGATTGGCAGTGCACATCACCCAAACTGTACTTTTATACGCTAAATATGAATTTAAGATGTTAACGGGTTCTGTCAGAGAGGCTCAGTGCAAGGACAAGCAATGGCAAGCTTGTAAAAGAAAGCAGACATGTGTTTGCCACATCCTTTCCCACAAAATCCATATTGATCCCATTCGCTCCCTGCCTAAGTGAATCACAAAATCTAAAGCTCTGTACTGAACCTTTAGAATAAAAGACTGGTTTCCATACGCAGGATCGTGGTGAGGAATTCCTGTTGTTCACTAGGGACTTTTCTATCCTCTTGCAGTTGATAAAGTAATTTTGGCTATTTTAAACTCTTCTGGATAGAGCAATAGTCTTCCCAAATTAACTGATTCTCTGTTACCATAGGTTTTTCCTTTAGCATTCCAGTACTCTGGTAGTCAAGGACTTTGTTTTGGTTTTGTTTTCTTTTCCTTAGAAAAAGGTAAATGTATATTTTCCTACTTCACAGGGAAGTGTCTGTTCATGTCTGGTCTAAGTAATGAACAGCTGAACCATATGGATGACCACACCTTGCCACATAAATATGGGATTGGATTTACAAACATGGTTGAAAGGACAACACCTGGAAGCAAAGACCTCTCCAGGTGGGATAACAAGGGGGAATATCGTGCTTGTTCATGAATTACTAGTTGTGATTATAACTTTGAGTACTTTGTCTTTTAGCAAAGAGTTTCGGGAAGGAGGGCGCATTCTGATGCAGAAATTACAAAAGTATAAACCTCGCATAGCAGCTTTCAATGGAAAATGTGAGAGCCTTGATTTTTAAATGAATTTGTAGTAGTAGCTTTCTTTTTTTGTTTGCCCACTTAGGCTATCTCCTTTTTGGTTTAGGTATTTATGAAATTTTTAGTAAAGAAGTTTTTGGAATAAAAGTTAAGAACTTGGAATTTGGACTGCAGCCACACAAGGTGCCAGATACAGAAACTGTAAGTATTGATACTGAGAAACAAAAACAAGGCACTCCCATTTTGGTTATTTCAAAACTAACAAAGTCTCAGGACTTGCACACACACTTACGATACCATCAAAGTTTGCCCAAAGTACAAGGGACATGAAAGGCTTTTGCTTACATAGAGAAAGGGGAATAGTGCAGTTTTCAGACACATCTTTGTCCTGGTTTGAGGAGCTTCTCAGACTTGCAGACTGTATTTGGGAAATGGTGTATTACGGATAGTAGGTTAGTGTATTCTCTGAGGACTACCTAAAATACAAATAAAACATACATGCTTTTGTGATAACTGTAATCTACTTTCATCTCATTCTCTGTATGTTTGTATTACTTAATTTTCATACAGAACATGACCATGGTGCTAGTAGTGCCACAGTGGGGGAGAGAGAATTGTAAGTCCATCGTTATGCTATTACACACTGCAACTACAGCATTGCTGGATCTGGGCATGGCCAAGCACTTCCATCAGACTCAGTCTTTTTAAGCTGCTTTGCAGCTTGAAATTAAATTGGATGCTTAAGATAAAACAGTTTGATGCAGAGTGCATTAGTCATAGACATCTAGTGCTGGAAGATAGCTCAAGAGACAGCTATGTATCATCACAAACAGGTTTGTTTAACCTGATCTTATAAACAGGTTAAGGCAGAGACTGCCAGCACTACCTGCCAAGGTAGCTTATTCCAAAGCGTCGTTACCTTGTCAGTTCAAAAGTTTGGGTTGTTTTTATTTCTATCCCAAATTACTAGTGCTACAAGTTTAAGCTCGTTTTAAGCTGTACTCTAAAGGTGAAGTGTTGCCATCAGAGCCTGAAGAACTGTTGGTGATAAAGTGCTTGCTGCTTAAGTAGCTCTTAAAAACTTTTGCAGTAGATGTATTTGTAAGAAAGGTAAATAATCCTCATTACTAGTACTTGTTCATAAATACTGCATGACAGTAAAAGTATTGGATAGAGTTCCTTTTTCCTGAACTAACTTTGTCTTTAGTTAGGGCTGTTGGCAGAGATAGAGACGCTTAAGTTGGCTCCAGTCACGCTAACTCCAAAGTTTCAAACCCTGGCAAGTGTGATGCAGACACGCTTGGCCAAGAAGCCAGGCTAATTAACCTGTGATGCCTCCCTCGCTGGTTTGGGGTGTTTGTGTGCTGTCACGTACTCCTCTGTGGACTTTCTGGCTCAGAGCTCCACTTGCTCAGGAAGCTCTGGAGTGTGCTCCACTCTCTGGCGTACACTTGTAAATCGTGCTTCTTGTAACACATACTGGTACTGCTGCTTCTGCAGCACATAAACAACTGGTGAAAATTGTCCTCGCTTCAGCAGCTGGTAATTGTCCCCTCTCTTCAGGACAAGACATCTAGCTGGCCAAGAAAAATGAAAGGCTCCTTTTATCCCCTTTCACCACCAGCTGTGGCATTAGCTGAAGTTTGTACAAAGGGTTAAAACAGGGAGGGTAACTTAAGTTATTCTTGATGTACTAAATATTAACTCATAGCTCAGGGACCAGTAATGCTATTTTTCTTGCTCTTTGTCTCAAGCTCTGCTACGTTATGCCATCCTCCAGTGCAAGATGTGCTCAGTTTCCTCGTGCACAAGATAAAGTTCATTATTACATAAAGCTGAAAGACTTAAGGGATCAACTGAAAGGCATCGCACCAAACACAGAGGTGCAGGAGGTGCAGTACACGTTTGACTTGCAACTTGCACAAGGTATAGCGGTTATTTTGTTAATCCTTTATTAAAATGTAGTATGGCGTACAACACCAGTAGCAGTCTCCCAAGCAAAAAGAATTAAAGAATTTAAGGGGAGGGGGGAGATGTGCCGTCTTCTCTAAATCATGTGGGGTAGAATTACAGATTCCGCTCTCTTTTTAGTAGAGTCTTAGTTATCTAAGGGGAGCAGGAATTATCTTGTAGAATGTCTGGCTGTTTTTTCAAGTGTTCTCTGATAAAAATGCTCTTTGATCATTTTTATTCTGAATATTAATACTTGAGGTCTTCTCTTTCGGCAGAGGATGCTAAAAAGATGGCTGTCAAAGAAGAAAAATATGATCCAGGTTATGAAGCAGCTTATGGAGGAGCTTACTGTGATCGTGCACCGTATGAAAGCGAACAGTGCAATTTCTCTTCAAACGGAACCGGTAGAGCGCAGTGCTTGGGGCACTCAGTCTGTAAACCATTACTTACGAACGAATACTTGGTGGTATCAACTGCTTTTTTAAAACTGTATTTTATTATTTTTGTTTGTTTTAGCAGCAGGCAATCCACAGTACTGTGAGGGGTCGTCCTTCGGTGAAGTTCCTAATGGACAATGGATGACACAGTCCTTTGCAGACCAGATTCCAGAGTTCAATGCTGGTGTGACACGGGAAGAAGAGGGAAGCAGTGCGTAAGAGCTGTTTCTTCTCAGCTATGCATACATGCTGCAGTTTTAATGCAGTGATCAAGATCAGTACCTCGGTTCTCCAACTGAAGCATTTTAATAGTATTTTATCTCCCCTAGTTATTTTATTATAGTCCAAAGTAAGTGTGTGGTAGGCTCTAATTGATGAACTAGATAATTTTAAGGAACTGTCCAAACTTTTTTAAAAAAAGTTAGCCCTTTTTTGTATATGAGTTTTTTATATTTAATGTATACCATTTCTTGCAGTTTTTGACAAATTGCTTTCTCATTTGTGAAGATTTCTTTGGGGCTTTAATTTTATTCCATAAATCACAATGTAGTAGTAACAGCAGCAGTATACTTTTTACTGATGCCTCAGTATTTGGATAGCTGATAATCCTTTTATATCCAGGGTGGAAAATGGGAAGTGTACCCTTATCTTACATGAAGTGGTGTTTTTAATCATGCACAGTTAAACAAATTGTGCTTTTTAAGTCTGCCTTTTACCTTCTTAAAAAGTGCAGAAAATTGTGTTCTGCAGCTGGGAGTACTAGGTATTTTCTGGGTGGGAAGAGAGAGCTCTGTCTTTGTAGTGATTAGATCATATTCAGGACTAAGGGAGTGGAAACATCATCTCAAGTCACAACACTGGGGAGGAAAATTTGTGTTGCACAGGACAGGGCCTAAATATTCTAGCTGAGCTGTCTTAGAGCAAGGTGTCCCTAACACTCCATCTCTTTCCCCCCTAAATTCCAATGTAAGGAACTGGAATTCCTTAAAAAAAAAACAAAAAAAAAAAACCAAAACCCCCCCCAAAAAAAACCAACCCACAAATCAAAACAATGGTGGTTCTTGAATTCTGTGGCATTTAAATTCTCGGTCATTTCTTCGCGATTAATCTCTTCACCTGACCTTTAGCAGGAGTCAGCCCCTCTGAAGAGATTACACTGCAGGGAAGTGAATGTGATCTGTGTGAATGTGTAAAAACCATGTACAGCTACGTTGTTTACATCAGGTACTATTAGCACAGGGTGAAAGAGGTTTGCAATTTAGCAGTTTTTAACATTCAGCTCTCTTCAATGTGTAAGACCTTAGAGGGTGTTCTCCTTATTCCTCTTACAAGTGAAAAATGCTAAGTTAAATATAAGGGCAGTTGTTCCATGAATAAGAAGTCAGCTATAGAAACTACAGCTCTCTTCTGAGGAACTTGCTTAAATGATACACATTTTTGGCCAATATTAGTGACTGAGAAAGAAATACGATTCCATGCTTGTGCCTAACCATCATCTTCTTTCCCTCTTTTTATCATGTGAAGAAGAGATGAAGTAAAAGCAATAAGTTGATCAAAACATTGAAGTTTTGATGATCTTATGACAGTAGGTGCTTTTAAGGTGCTACTTGAAAACCAGATACAAACAGTATCTCCACAATCCACGCCGGTCAGAGATTCCTGTACCAGTGTGGTTAATCCTTTCCTCACAGCCAGTGACAGTTGTCATGCATTGAGTGTAACTGGTTAGTGTAGATTCTAATCCTGCTGTAAAAGCTCTCACTGAGGTCACGCACTGTCAACCTGCTGTGAGGCAGGCATGATGTTTACAGTTCTCTTCCCAAATTACGTGGCTTAATTCTGAGCGTCTTAAATCAAGAAGGTGTGCATTATGATTCTGATTGTGTTTATTAGCTTCAGCATAAAGCTGTTCCGTATATTGTCAAAAAGGTATAGGACTTGTCTTGTCTGTTATTTAAAGTGTACTGTATCATGTATTGCTGTTTACATGGACGTTTTCCTGCAGGTGCTCAAAGTATCTTGCATCAGGGATTTGTTACAATTCCATTTTATTTTTCAACAAAACTAGAAGCATGTAATTAGCACTGCTGAGTATGTAGCACAGTAGGATATAACTACTGTAAAACTATCCTGTTGATTGGAAGGGAAAGGTCTCTTCTTTAATGGAGTCACCTACTAAGGGTATCTAGATATAAAATACAGTTAAGTGTACAATGACCGTTTCACTAAATATTGCAATTCTATGTGTACTCCCTCAGAACTGGTGCTCTTTTCATTACAGTAATACAAAAGTTCTTAATCTGTCTTAAATCTATCAACGTTTCACAATAAAATCAGGAATTGTATTGCAGTGTCTTAGAATGTGTGTTTTTTGCATCTTGCTAGCAGGGGTCTAAATGCACTACAGGATATGTAATACAGAAAAACACTGCAAAACAGAGTCACCGTGCAACAGAAAAATGAGCATTTTTCTACCAGCAGACATTGGCATCCTACCTAAAAGACCTCACCATTAAAACAGTGTCTGGTGCTGAATTTCAGCTCTGTAAACGTTTAAGGAGAATACTTCATTGTCATGTAAACTTGTTTCCTCACCTTACATGAACGTCAAGATCATCTGAACTGTTTAACTGTCACTCCACCCTCCCTCTCCAGCCGTAAGCACACAAAACCGATGGTCATTTATTCATATATTTAACAAATACTTAGTTTTCTAAAATCAGTTAATTATACAACATGGTGCATCCCAAACTGTTACATACTGCAAAACATAGTGTATGGATGCATTTATGTGGTTTCAGTATCAGCTATCAGGACGAGTTAATTTGAACTTCCCTGAAGGGTCAGGAATAAACCAGTTTTCCCAGAGATCAGTGTGAACACTGGGATAGTCCCAAGGTTTGTATCTCCCATTCCAATGAAGTAATTTAGCTTCTTGAAGAAAATGCTCTGAGTAACGGGCATCAGGACTCCAACCTGCAGAGGTAGATAAAAATATTTTTTTTTTTTTTTTTTCAAATCCAGTTTTTAATAGTGGAAGAAACTATAGAGTGAGGTGAATTCAGTTATTTTCTTAAGAAGTCTCATCAGCATGGTTTCACCTGTTAATAGGCAACTAATTGTATCAGAGTATGCTGCATCAGCAAAAAATCTCAACAAGTTTTCTCTCTCCTAACACTGTTAACATCTTGACCTAGCTGGGGTTAAAAAAAAATAAATCTTTTTACTATACCAGGTAAGCCATTATCTTTTTCCCAGGATAATTCACCATTCCCAGGTGAAAGGTAACTACATCCTCCAGAATGTTGAACACACAAACACTGCCAAGGCGTCTCATCTTCCACTGTGCCTACTAAAAGAGCATCTGATTTTGTTCAGTCTCTCACTATATTCAGATCTTTCATATATTCTTTCCATAGTTTAGGACAAATACAGGTTAGCTGGTCTTCAAACATGTTACTCTGTCATTGGTATTTGGGTGTGTTTGTTTTTTTTTTTAATCCAATTTAATGATTATTGGGGTTTTGGGTTTTTCACAGGGTGCAACTACTTTGTTTGCTTAACCAGTTAAGATATTTGCGTAATGACACTTACGGGGAACCCCCACGTTCTGCCCTACCCTGAAGAAAGCAGGGCTAATGAGTGTTGGGGGAAGCAGGGATTACGCGCTGTGCATCTGAGGTATAAAGTAATGGTTTGAGGTAAAGTAACAAAAGGTCCTGTATTGGAATCTTACAAACCGCTCCCTTTATTCAGTTCCAGCTGCAAACAGTGGGACATTAAACTTACCAAGATGCCTTATGTGCCACATAGGATTAATAGTGGAATACTTTCCATGAAATACAATCAGCATTGGAGAGGTCGCCACGCCTCCCCCAAGGGTGCTGCTGTAGAGGTTTTCCCTGCAGAAGGAAAAAAGAAAATGTTGAAAACCTCAAGCAAAGAATCTTGAGTACAAAAGGCAAAAGACTGAAAATATGTATTCTGGCAAAATTCAAAATCATTTTGAACAGACCAGTTTTCAGCATACTCCTTCCTAATGCGTTTAATTGCTTGTAGTTGCAACTCCAATTCCTGTTGAGTAAATTGTTGGTAATAAGCAAAATGGGAATCAAAGCCAACATGAAGCCAACTACTTCTACACACCGCATATAGTCTACAAGGCTGACAAAATTTACAGTAGAAAAAAGGCTGTTAACATAAAAGAATCAAACATATTTTAACCTGGTTTCTTAAGAAAATGTATGTGTTCCCATGTGTTTCATTCCCTCTTTCTTCCCCTTTCTTCCCCCTTCCCCCCTCCCCCAGCTTTTACACCCATAAATTAACTTCAGATTTTGCCAAAGCCTGGTTGGTATAAACTGACATCTAAAGAATATCAGTTTCCTATTAATTTTGTGATAAATTCAAGGCCAGATGAAGCCAAATCACCTTAAGGAGAAGCATTAGGAGGCAGCAGCCAAATGTCTAGTCACAGTGTGCTTGAGGCCTGGACAGCCAGTTGGCACATGGGCAAAGCCACCCCAGCTATGGGACACTGTGCCACACCAGCCTAACAAGGAGGAACCCTGGGAAGTACTGAGAGATGCTTAGAGGCCACAGAACAAAAAAATTATAACTTCCCTTCAAAACTGGGTTTCAACTGCTAAACAATTTATTTCACGGTCATTTCAAAATCCAGCTAAAAGGAACATGAATGTGTTATGAAGGTATAAAATCAACTTTATAGCTAAAATTTGCAGTAATATTAATGGAGTTTTTTCATACTTTGAAAAAGCACAGCAATAGCTCCTCAGCATACGTTGCATAAGCAGAAGAGAAAGACATTTGGCTTTTCATTCCTTCACATGCTTATCATTTGTCTCTCCTCTGTTCATTTCTGAAACTAACAAGTGATGGACATAGTCCAATAGCACAAGCTATTCAGTTTCAGTTTAGCCTTACTAAATTTAAATTTAACCCTTCACAGAGGAAGAAAGTAAATGTCACGTTTGCACATAAAGGTTAACAGTGAACTAACAAAAAAAGGAACAGCAATGGTTTCGCTATGTCATGACTTATTCATTGTCATTGCCAAAAAGATATGTTTCATGCAAATTTCATTCACCTATGGGGAAAAAAAAAAAGTGTTTTCTATTGGTATTTAAGAAATATGGTGTCCAATTACAGTTTGGTTCACATTACAAAGGAAGACACCCACACAAACAAGGAAACGTTCCTCTTTCTTTAAGCCAGCCTCAGGAAGGGAAGATCCCTAAGTGGCTTGATCCCAAGTGAGGTTGGTCACCCAAAACAAGAACCACATGTTTTCAGTGTCCCTCAAGATTAAGTGTGGTTTGTGATTAAACACAGGATTAAAATTTCAGGTGGTCATTTCCTGATACATGATTGATCAGACTTAAGCAGATGGAAATGCTGGAACATGAGTTATTTCACTTGATGAGATCTCAAAGAAAGACTGCTTGGAGTTGAAAAACTTTTAAGACATTTTAAACAGAAAATAAAAT